AATATTATTATAGAGGATTGTACTCAAATTTTCCAAATTAATAAATTACTATTTGCTCCAAATTTTGTTTCTATTTACAGATATACAAAATTTGTATGTACACACTAATAGACCTAATAGGAACAAGTCTCATAGCATCAACATGCACATAATTAACCAAGTCTTCCTTTTTTTTTATCCATACAGTTTTTACATTTAACTTTTGAAGAGACTTTACAATTCCAACATTTATCTTGTTTGAATAATTCTTAGCATGAGAATTTTTGGGTTGATTCACATAATTTTCCTTTTTAGCATGAACCCTATTCTTAGCATAAGAACCATAAGCACGAAATTTAGAAAAAGTTTTTCTTCTCTTCCTATAGCAATAATATTGGTTATGTCCATTCTTACCACAGTAAATGCAATACAAAATAGTATGCACATAAGACATATTAGTATATGAAACCTCATTAAAACCTAAGCCACTTTTGTCATTCACAGTCTTGTCAACATTAATCATCTCATCAAGTTTAATTTGCTCAGAATTAAATCCAATTAATTTCTCTGGTGACTTTTTCAATTCAATTTCAAGAAAGCCCAATTTATAAACAAAAGATTCTTTTGCAGAATTAACTTGATTTACCTCACTTCTAGGAACCTTACCTTTCCTTGAAGATATTCAATATCCTTCTGTTTCTGTTCACTTTGCTTCTTCAGAGCATCTCTTTGTTCCTCAATTTCTTCCAATTCTTTACCTTGCTTATTAAAGACTTTATTTGTTTAAACATATGTAACATACAATTCATTGAATACTTTATCATAATTATCTTTGTTAATTCCTTGTAACAACCTTCATCACTTGATTTTTGTAACGACCCAAATCTTGGGTCCGAATTATTATCCGAGTCTTTAACCGAACTCGATGTCATCTAAGGGCATTACGGTCATTTCTAATATTAAGATATAATTAATACATCATGCTATGCTTTGTAGTGCACAATGGCATGTCAAATGGGTCGGGATTGGACAAAAATGGAAAAGAAAACAACCATGGCTATGAGAGTGATTTCTCTTGAATAAATCAGGTAAAGCATATGCTGATGCTTAATAAATCATTTATGCGTGTGACATGTTAGAAATTATGCATTCTGTGGCTAAACCATGTACCCATGACATATTAGAAATTATGTAATATGTGACCGTTTGGTGTCTCATAGTTCGGAGATTTGAACTATCAACTTTCTTCTTTAGAAGTGAAGAAGACTGATTAAACTGATTTCATTCACCGAATTGGAGTGGTTTGATGCTTCAATTTGATGCATGAAGATGAAACCAGGTCGAGTGTTAGGTTAGAATGTCACCTCTCAATTGTTGTCAATCATTGTACTTGGCTGTGAGGTGTGAACCCAATCTTTTAACAATTAAACACCCCTAGAAAGAGTATTGTTATTTAGTCCGAATTGTTTGGCCTAGAAATCTAACCGAATGGATTTTTATCCAATGTAGTGGATAAACTTAAGCGTGGTCCATTCACTACTTCACAAGGATAGAAACCCTTTGGCTATACAAATGAGTTTTGTTAAACCTACCAAACCAAGCAATAATTACAAAATACGACAGAAAAATAAACACATTACATAAAGAACATAAAGATTTATATATAGTTCAGTAAAACCTATGTTCACGGTAAAAATCGGGCAAAAGTATTCACTATATGTAAAATTAGATATTACAAATTTTCAGTCCTTCACTCTCAATTTATATAAATTTCAATGGTTTCTCTCACACTCATTTCAAATCTTAAACGTCCTTGTATATATTGTATACACAATAGTATTAATTAGGATTTACAATCCGTGAACAAAAATGAGTCAAAAAAAAATTTCGGACCAATAAAGCTCAATAAGGGTCGCAACGTGACCTGTCAACCACAACATCACAGGTTTGATGACTTAGGAAAAGTCTTGATTAGATGAGGTTGAGGTTGAAAGGTAATTGGAGAGAAATTTCGCCAATGGTCACAAAATTAGAATTCTTATAAAATAAGGTAATTTAAAGGTACTCAAGTAAGATGGAAAAATAAATTAATTAAGGTATATTTGGGGTTGAAAAGAGAAAGAAAAGGGAATGATATTATGTAAGATAAAGAGAAAGTAACACAAAGTGTTTACCCATCTTAAAATTTTTAAACCCTCTTGTTTGAATTGTTAGACTAGATTAGGTTGGAGAGCAAATAAAGTAAGAAAGTTAAAGCAATAAAAAGTGAAGTGATCTACCATTTAGTTAAAATAAACAATTAAAAAAAAATTATAATCCCAAGGACATGAAAGTTTTTTTTTTTTTTTTTGGTAATAAGTGAGTTGACATAAAAGGAAGGAAAAAAATAATAATAATATATATATATACTTCCTAATGAGGCTCTAGAACCCAAGATATCAACCAACTAACACAACCAGGGACTTCGGCGGGAATTCATCAACAAGTTCAGAGAGCCTCCATGGCCATGTGGTGATGGTGATGGTGATGGTGATGGTGATTTTGGTGTATATGTGCTCTTTAGGCGCGGAGAAGAAAGGGTATGGGATGGTTCGTGGATGGAGCTTGAAGATTCCATTCATTTGTAATTTTCACTACATGAGGACAAACAAGTTGAGCGTTTGTTTTGTTTGGATGTAAAATATTTTTTAAGAAAATATTTTTTGTTTTTATTTTTATTTTTTGACGTTAGATTGTCATAAAATATTTATGAAAAAAAAAAAATTAAAATCTAATAAATATAACTTACTTATCAATTTTTAGCAAGTTATTTTAAACGTCAGCATGATGAACTTGATCTCAATTTCAACCTAGATTTTTACATAATTAAAAATAAAAAAATATTTTAATTGAAAAAGAAAAATCTTTTTCGAAAAAAATCTTTTACGTCGAAACAAATGCAGTCTGAATGAAAAAAGTCTCAATCTAACGGAATTGATCACTGCCCTCAAAATCTGTGCTTTTTGCAAGAATGTTTCGGAAAAAATTTGAGAATTTTATATATATATATATATATATTTAACCATATGAACTCTTCAAAACTCGAAAATTAAAAAAATATATATATATTCTTTGTTACTTTTTGACTGATAAAATAACCCTATAAATAAAAATAAGAGAGGAAAGAAGAATCACACTCTCTCCACTTTGTTTGGTAATCAGTAAAAAGGAAAAGGAAAAAATTTGAAATTTTGTTGTGCAAGTAGAAAGATAAAATAGTGAGAGTTGACATTTTTTCCTTCTTTTTTTCCCTTTTTTTATTTTTTTATTTTATTTTTCACCATTAATGCTCAAAACATTTTGACCTTCTTTGATTTATTTGTTAGTATAATACATTTAGAGACGGTATATAACACACCTATAATTCAAAGATTTTGATAAAATAAATTTAGATGAAGGCTTCCTTGTTTGGTTGTAAAATATTTTTTTATTTTTTGGTGTTTGGTTGTCGTAAAATATTTATGAAAACAAAAATTTAAAATATACCAAATATAATTTACCCATCAATTTTCAACTAGTTACTTTACACGTCTCGTTTGATAGACTCAATTTAAACTTCTACCAAATACCGAATAAAAAAAAATATATATATTTTACCTGAAAAATATATTTTTCTAAAAACGGGTGGGTTAGAAAAAATATTTTATGTCTAACCCACCCGAAGAGCCAATAGATTAAAAATATAATAATAATATTAAAGGCACATTCTCGTGGTTTATCAATTTGACTAAGAACAAGTTGGACATAAAAAACCACCCTCCTAAAATTCCTCGTGCTAACGATACATATATATATATATATAAGCACATCAAACACGACATTGAAGGCTAACTTTGATTCAAGAGGAATACCAGTTGAAGATGGAAAAACAAAAAAACACTCATCAAAAAGTCAAAAAAAAAAATTAATGTCTTCTACATTTTCATTACTTTATGTAATATTAAACTAAGTCTTAGGAATTAAAAAACGAGGAAGGAAGTCTCTCTCTATCCCCACTTGTTTAGCATTCATGGAAGAAGAAAAAAAAATGGTGTGCCCATATACACCACGAAATGAGAGTGAACTTTGATGTGATGGTAAAATTATCTTATTATGACATTAAAACAGGGACATAATCAATGAAAAGCCAGGAGGGGCACGCGCCCGTCCTGACTTGGCCTACTCTAATTTTTTTTTTTTATATTTTTTTTATATATATGAAAAATTGTATACAGTGCCTCTCTTGGCCTGTCTTATATGTAGTAATTTTTTTAATATTTTTTTTGTATATATGAAAAAATTTATACAGTACCTCTCCTGGCCTACCCTCTATTATATATGTAATAATTATTTATATTTTTTTTATATATGAAAAAATTAATACAGTGTCCCTCCAAATTTTGTGATTTCTAAAATTATCCTTATTTTTTCTTTTTTACTCTTCAAATTTCTTAAATTTTCTTAAAAGAAAAAGTTAAATTTTCCTTCCTCAATTAAAACAGTTAACTCCTTTTAAAGTTCTCTTATTTTTCTTTTCTTTTTCAATTTCTACTTCTTAAAATTCATCTTTTTAACGTGTATATTTAAATTTTTTTTCATTCTTTTTTTTTGTATTTTATATTTGTAATATTTACACACACATACATATATATATATATATATATTTTACAAGGTGTCTTTCCTGACTTGAAATCCTAGCCTTGCATAAAAATAACGGTCTTTAAATAAAAAATATCTTCTCCACGTCCAAGTAAGATTAGTGCATTTCATCCCCTCCAAATTTTGTAATGGCAAAATATTTTTGTACTTGAAAAATTAGAGCATATTTAATTTAATTTTCTAGAAACGATTATTGAAAATAAAAAAACTCACTTGTTTTGGTTGTCAATTTTTAAAAAACTCAATTTAAAAAGTTATATTCAAAGAGCTGTTTTTATTATTTATTATTAAATATAGTTTATATATATATATATATATATTTTTTTTTTCCTCCTCCAATTCCCCCTTCATTTTTTAAGATGAAAAAAGACCAGACGTCTATGAAAAAGACTAGTCTACTTCACATGTTCAACGCCGGTGAAAAACCCAAACTCCATATCTTATTTGTTAGTACAACTATCGCCGTCTTCACCGTTAAAGCTCGATTATCTTCTAGGCTTTAACGTCCATTACAATCAGTCAAACACAAAAGCAAACCACCACGCGCCACCTCACGCGCCGCCTCCCCATTCACTGAGATCCGAATAGTTGTAAGAAGATGATGGAACAGCCTGGCGCCGACCAGAAGACTGATGCGACGAAACCGGAGTTGGATCAGAGACCGGGGCAGGATCCGGAAACGAAACCGGATCGGATCCAGGACGGCGGCGGTAGCGGTGATAGAAGTAGCGAATATGAAGGTGGAAATAACAAATCACCGGTGGATCAACGGTCGAAGAAATCGGTGCATTGGAGTGAGGAATTGGTCTCAGATTCTCCATCTCCATCTCCGAAGACTTATGTTGCTGCACCGAGTCCTTACGCTGCTTCGTCTCCTCCGCCCTCAACGTCCTTAAAAAGTGAACCCCTCTCTCTCTCTATATATCTACACACACACACACAAAGAGACAAGAGGAATGCTATATTCTATCTATAATAATCTGTATCGGCGGATATATTTATGTGTGTATTTAAATGTCTATGTACATGTATAGACAAGTTTTGAGCCTTTATCTAAGGCACTCTCTTTTACTCGATCTTCACGATTACTTGAATCTGAGTTTTAGATTGGTTTTCGCACATATAAAGTATTGAGATTTAGAACTCTATTATTCTCTGTGTGAATTTATTGAATTTGCTTGTTCAAATACTAAATTTGGAATCAAAGTATTTTTTTTCTTTCTCTCATGCATTGATGGTGTTGTTGAGGATTGTTACTGGAGAAAATGTATTGTGAAAATGAAATTTTGTGTTTGTTTTGTCAGATACGATGGGTACTGTTCGAAATGTGCTGGGGAGATGGGGAAAAAAGGTTGGAGAAACAGCGAAGAAGGGTGGGGATCTTGCAGGGAACACTTGGCAACACTGTAAGTTCTCCCCTGTTTTATGATTCTGTTCAGCATCTTCAATTATTTGTAAGTTATCTTGTATATGTAATAGAATTTTAGTATTGCAATCTGTTGGAACTTTTGGCAATTGAATTTTGGTGACAGATACTGGAAACGAGATAAACTTGGATAGCAAATCCTTGGCAAATCTCATATACCGTTGATAGCTTGTTTCATGATACAAATAATAATCAAAATTTGAATTTAAAGTAATCTAAAGTAAGTGTTATAAATCATAATTCAAGCATCGAAGCTGTTATTTATTGGTAACTTGCAGCAAATATAATGCTTACTAGGCAATTTGAGTTTTTTGGAATGATCTTTATTAGACAATCAATATTTGGTTGTGGTTTGCTGCACAAGAGATCGAGCTGGAAGGAGAGACTGTCACAATACCCTTGATGCAATTAGTGTTAAAGCATCAGTCTTTGTTTGTGGTTGCTGCACAAGAGCTATAGTTGGAGTTCCTTTTACACAATTTTCATGGGAATCTAAGGGCATGTTTGGTTCAGTTTTTTTTAGAATAGTGTCTTAGGAGAACTGAAATTCAGAAAACTAAATAGAAACTTGTTTTGTTGTCAGTTTTTTGAAAACTCAATTAACAAAAGGGCCTATTTTCAGATAATGTTTTTTATATTTCTCTGAAAACAGTATTTTATTTTCTGACTTCTTGAGAACTATTTTTAGATAACTGAACCAAACAGCCCCTAAAGTTTTTCTTGTGAAATTGGGGTGGGGGGAATTATGCAAAATTTAGTTATTGACAGTATTTGTTATGGCTTAGAGACGAGCACTATGGAGATGATATGGATACTGTCGAACTGAAAGAACCAATGCTGTCAACTATGACCCCAGCCAGGCTCTTTCACCTCTTACACCAATTTCCAATCACTCACTTGGAAATTTATAGACTATCAAACCTAACTACTAAATATATAAATATAGTCAAAGCTAGCAAGAGAGATAAATTATCTAGGATTTCATTTTTATTATCTAGGTTTCCATTTAAGGTAGTTGATCCGAGTAGTTGGGATTTAGGCTTTTTTGAGTTTGAGTTTTTTTAATTGGAACTAATGAGACATCATTGTTAAAGTGATTCAATTGGAGCACTACCTCAAAATTTGATGAGCCACACATAGCCTTCATGCTGCCAAAGCTATAAAATTGCATCACGATGTCCGTGTTACGCCTATAAATGGTTGATATTCAGAATATTCATATGTTATATATCCTAGTCAGATTCAAGAAGAAAATTGCTTGATCCAATACGATAATCCAATTGCTTCTAATGAAATTCTATCTTGGATTTGTTAACCACATAATTAATTGTCCAAAAACAGACTCGATCAGTGACTCGGTGAGAGCTCCTTTGCTTGCCCTTGCCATCTTGCGATATTGAGAAACCAAAACTAGGGCTATTAATGAGCCCTACTCCTCTTTGTTTATTTTATTTTTATTTCTTCCTAAATTGGAATCCAAAACCTGGTTTTCATGCACTTATTTGGGGGGAAGGGGGAATCTGGTTTTCATGCTTAAAAACTTAGAAAGAACTTTGTCTTTCAATACAGAACATGCTGCTGGTCCAAATAACCCGAATTATCTATTAAGATAAATAAACGAGCCCATTTAAATAAAAGCGGTTGGATTGTACGATCTTACCAGTGATTGTAGCAATCATATTGTAATCCTGACCTAGAACAATTTTCCTGTTATATGGATTGATTTTGGTAACCTGCGATTGTAGGATCGTGGCATCCTTCGATTTGAATCACGATTTTAATAATCATGTTCTAAAGTAATAATATAACAAAAGGAACATAACGGAGTTTCTCGTATAATAAATAGTAATTTTGAATTATAAAATATTTTTATGCAGTGCATGTCCAACCAGATATTTTTTATATAGTTTGATACCCTCACTGCAATATACTTCACACAGTTAGAAGGGTCCATGTACCATGTAGATGATGTTGTAAATCCAATCAAGTAACATGAGCCTTTTTCATTTTATGCAATAGTATAGTCATTATAGTTGCCTGGCCTGACCAATTAGACCGATTCTGTACCACATTGAGTCCAACAGGATTCTGTAAAATTCAGCCAATCATTGAGATATTGATAAGGGGAATCCTCCGTCTTTTCATACATATTTCCTCATTATGCATGACATTACTCATATATATATATATATATTTTTGATAAGTACATTACTCATATTTGTGTACCTCTTTTCTATTTTTCTTTCTTTTTTGATTCTTAAGTCAATAATCCAAACCCTCCTTTCAATTAGATTTCATTTGAACACTTTTTTCCACATTTCTACAACTACATTGGCATATTTTGTACCGTTTAGATTCCCTTTGGTAGCATGGATGCTATTTAGGATGAAATATTTTGGTACCTGGTGGCTGCCTTGAACTTATGCTTACTGATCCATATTCCATACAGTTATAGCAGTTTTTACTTACAAGGTGGTAGATTTGAATCTCGAGTTGTTCGACGAGAAATTTTTGCAAATTGTAGATGTAATCATAATCTTCTTCTCTGATGTAACTGGCAGTGCATAATTTCTATTAATTTTGGCATTCTTCTTACATATTGTTTTGTATTAAGACATTTATTTTTATCGAACTTTTGGAGCATTCAGTTTGGAACTATATTGAAATTGATCCCGTGACTAGAAATTTATTTGTAAGTAGTATGAAGACATCTTGTATCGTCCTCTCCTCCATGAAGTATCACATTTTTGTATAAACTAAAGATTATTTTGAGTGGTGTATATTGTTGTACTTCACTATTATGCAAATGGAAAGATAAGGTTTCTCCCAGTGTTACGTTTTGGTGCTTGAGGAGAATAGTTGTACATATATGGGGCAAGATTAGCTGATATTGGGATGCGATAAATATGAGACGTTACATTGTCAGAAGGTGTATCTTACAAAAGTTACACTGTCAAAATGTGTGAATGGATCACAAATGTAAATAATAGAAGATTTCAAAATATTGTCTTCCCTCTAAAGATCTTCTGATTCTTCTCGCATAATTTTTCTTTGGAGTTTGTTTCAATTGTGGGAATTTTCAGTCTCTATTATTTGTTTTCGTCAGTGCCTTTTGTTATTACTTTGAGAAATTGTCTTTGAAGGATTCCTTTTGATACTTGAAATCACTGAAATGATCTCTATTTCTTTTTTTGGTTCAAAATAGTGAAAACAGCCCCTAGTTTCACTGATGCTGCGATGGGAAGAATTGCACAGGGAACAAAGGTTCTTGCAGAAGGTGGTTATGAGAAGATATTTCGACAAACTTTTGAGACAGTTCCAGAGGAGCAACTTCAAAATTCATATGCATGTTACTTATCTACATCAGCAGGTCCAGTCATGGGAGTTTTATATGTATCTACAGCAAAGCTTGCATTTTGCAGTGACAATCCACTTTCATATAAATCTGGTGACAAGACTGAATGGAGCTATTATAAGGTATGTCTAAAACAGTCTATGTAGAGCTAAAAGTTCAATATTTATGTACTTTGGGGTACATTATATTGTGGTCAATAGCTTATAATGTGCACCAACAGTATGAGTGATATTTGACCCTTACTGGAGTAATTATGTGCATCACCACTCTATTGGTATTTATGCTACTAAAACCTTATTCTGCCATTCAACACCATTTGGTTTGCCATAAACAATCCACTAGCATGTCCTTAAATGTCAAATCAAGATTCATATTAGAACTGGCTATCCATCTGACCATTGCCAACTAGTGAAGGATTACATCTTTATAGCAGTGGAGTTAATCCTATCATTCAATACAGTGAGTTCTCTCATATTCTTTCTTGCTACCTTTTGAATTGACATCACAGTATTATATTATAGCTTCTTTCACTGTGAGCCTGTGATTTCGAGTGATCCTTATTGTACCCAAGTTTATATGTGCCGTGGACTTTCCCACTCAAACTTTGTTCCTTTTCCACATGCTTAAGTGATTTCATCTGTATTCTGAATTCAGTTGTAATTCTTCTTGCAATTCTAAGATAACTTATTCGGTGTTTCTTGTGAGAATATAGTTATTTTGATGAAGAGGAAGCTCAAAATAAATCTCACACTAAGTTAACAAAAAATCAAAAAGATTCAAACTTAAAAGAGTTCTAATATTTCTTTCTCAATTCTTCATTTCAATCTGCCTTTGCTCTTCAGCACATCATACAATTTTTATGCGAGCTTGCGGTACGAATTGGGCATTTAGCCACCCTATAGCTATTCTAGAGCTTGCAATATCTGACTTTTTATCAAACCACTTTCCTATTCCTTTTATAGCACATTTATTACTCACAGTCACAGTATGCAAGCTTTCATTTGTCTTGCAAACTTATACATGAAGTGCTATTCATGGTCCCCACATGCATTACTTTCCTTTTGACTCTTCGTATAACACGCACATATTTACATATATTATGTGTTATATATATCTCTCTACACACACACACACACAACACTATTGTTTCTTTCTTTTCATCTTTCATGTGGTGGGTCCCACCACTACCAATAGAGGGGACTATTGTCCTACATCAGTCCCCTCTAGTTTAAAAAAACTCGTCCTCGAGTTTAGTTGCGAATAAAGTGGCTCATCCCATGGACGATACTCGAACAAATCAGTAACATTAATGGTTGGGGAAATAGCCACTCCTTCCAGAACGTGAACAACATAGGCATGCCCCTCCTTCGTTTTGAAAGAAGTCTTGCACTTGTCTTCTGGTCTAATTTGAATATGATGATAATCACTCTTCGAGAAATTTTCAAACCAACCATTGATGGGATTATATGCCCTTCAAAGCCAATATTTGATTGTATTTGACAGTTATTATTAATAAATTCTATTTTATTGATTTAGGAAAAAAAAAAAAATTCTCTTTTATTGAGTGCTTTACATACATATGGTGAATGCTTGTATTGGTTAATTCATGATCTGAATTAAGTTGTCCATTGATTATGCAATGATGAGTTAGAAGCATAGAGGGAGTCTTGTGCCTAGGAGATATAAGTTTACATTTTCCTGAATTGTTTGCATTCAAAGTTAGAACTTGGACATTCTATCTGAAAGAATGTAACATGTTGGTTTCTGAGATAGGATGTCTTATCTCAGTCATTTGAGTGGAAGACTCAAAACCATAAATGTTGATGTATAGAATACATTGAACTAGATTGAGAATAAGTGAAAAAATTATAATAGCTGTCATACTACATTTTCACTTATTAGTGTTATAGCGAGTAACTCTTAAACCTGAGAGAGTAATGAACTCTTGTCTTTATTAGTGGTTAGTTTGATTTACTTCAGTGCACCTGAAGGTCTAATATCTGGGTATTTTGAGTAATCATTAATTATTGGCAGTGGAATATGTACTCTCAAGATGGTATATATGCTAGATTATTTCTTTTGACTTGATTTACCTATAAAAAAAATAAAAAAAAAAATAAAAATTCTTGCGACTTGATTAGTTTGATCACAATAATATGGATCCAATGGATTTGATGAAATTGTTTTACAATATATTTATTTATCTATTAAACATATATTATTTTCTCAAAATGATTTTTTATGTGATCAAAGGGAATAAATAAAAAAATCAAAATAAATGTAAATTAGTAATTGGATTGATGGCAAGATTTTATTCAAACACTAATTATGCATAGAGGGGTTATTTCATAATTTAACGCGGTGGCTCTTCTATCCATTACTTGGAGTGCAATTATTTTTATATAGTGGAGTTAAAAATAATTAATGGATTTATTATTTGGGTTAAGGGTTGACTAGGCATTTAATGGGCCCATTAGAGCCAAGTATTGGACATGCCTAACTAGATCTCACTTCTAGCCTAACTTGGAGAGCAAGCTAGGGAGTTAGAAAGAAACAAGCAGAGGGGAGAGAGAGAGAGAGATAGGGAGAGAGGAGCGGCCCACCCTCTCCCCAGTAAATATGTGTGTTTTCTCCTTTATTGTGTATTTTCTCATACTCACAATACAAGACATATTCTCTCTCTAGGGTTTTCATACTCTCTTGGAGCCCACTCTTCCATCGCTTGTGAATTCCATCAAGATCATAGGAAGGAGACGTTAGATTGTGCTCAACAATTGTAGAAGGAGACGTCAGATTACGGTGAACTGGTGTTGCATGTGTAAGAACTCAGGAGAGTCTGTGAACCATCTTCTGCTTCACTGCCTTGTGGCGAGGGTTATTTGGGCTATGTTCTTGGTTGCTTTTGGAATGGCTTGGGTCTTTCCAGAATCCACGGTTGATATGCTAGAGGCTTGGAAAGGGTGTACATTGGATAACCGAGTCAGAGATGCTTAGAGGACCACTCCCTTTGTTTATGGTGCGGTTTGTGGCGCGAGAGAAATATGAGATCCTTTGATGGGGATAAGTCTCTTATTTGATATTGTTGTTAAGCATAAAACAGAAATGAAGAGAGAAATAAAACACGAAGAACACAAGGATATTATGTGGTTCAGCCACTAGGGCCTACGTCCACAGCACAAAGAACCCAAAGGGCTACATCACTTTATAATATATTCTCTCTTGATCTTTGTATACAATGATCACCTCTATTTATAGGTGAAGGAATAGAGGTGATAAATATGGAAAATACATTAATGGAAGATTCCTAAAATCAATACCATAAATCACTTCAATCAATATTCTATCATAGGATAGAATCTCTCCCATGATATTCTCATATTAAATATTTTGTCAAGGAGTAATTTAAGGGTTCCTATAATAATATTTCCAAATATAACATTTTCTAACAGATATCTTAAATACAATATATTGTCTTCTTTATTCTTTTGGGTCCATGGGCAGAATTGTTAATCTATGGATCTTCTTTTGGATTTTGTGGATAGCTTAAAATTATACTGTCATTGTGGGCAACTTTTGTATTCCTTTGGGAGCTCTCCCCTCTGGAGCGCCTTTAATGAATTCTTACTTATAAAATAAAAAATAAAAAGAGTAGTGAAGATTTGGGAGTGATTAAAGAAACCATCAAATTCGGGCCATACCTTTGAAGAAAAAAATTATCTCGCAATAGTCGATCCGCTGTCATCTAAGGTTTTTATAATCTTCTTCTCTAATTCATGATTCGCAAAAACAAGTGGGAATTAATTTTTTTGCTTCTGCTTTTAAACTCGTTTTCTAACAACCACCATATCCAGCATATAATCAAAACGTGGTATAGAAACCAATTTCTCAATTTGCATCTGCAACTCTTCATTCTCAACTAGACTCATGCAGCAATTTTACAGATTTGGCAAAATCACGTCAGCCACCAAATCTGTATGATGTTGACTATCCTGTATGGTTAGTAAATCGTCTAGCAACTCTTCTAAAGTCAATTCCTTATACTCTGCGAATAAAGGTCACATTGGATCCAACACGAGTGCCTCTCATTTCGCTTCTTTTCTCTTATAAAAAGAGTGCCATAACGGCATAACCTCATCGGGCTCCTTCACTGCCTTCACAAACTGTGGTTCATCGTTAGTAAGAAAAGACTGCACCTTTACTTTAGAACTATTAGTGGTTCTTCTCCCACAAGAATCATATCCTGATATTGGATTGCCACCCGCAATCCTCCAAAATATCTTGTCGTTTGATGGCTTTCCGCTTTTGGGAGATTATTGCATTTATTCAATCTGTAGAACTCTTCTGTATCATCGAAATGCAGCATAGAAACCAATTCCTCAATTTTCCTCTGCAACTGTTCATTCTCAACTAGATTTATGCAGTAATATTGCAGATTTGGTAAACTCATGTCGGCCGCCAAATCTTTCTGATGTAGACTATCCTGTATGGGAAGTAAATCATCTGGCAACTGTTCTAAAGGTCAATTTCTTATATTATGCAAATAATGGTTGCACTGGATCGGATACGAGTGCCTTTTCTTTCGCTTCTTTGCTCTTAACAATGAGCGCCATAACCACACAGGACTTCTTCGCTGCCTTCACAAACTGTGGTTCACCGTCAGTTAGAAAAGGCTTCACTTTAGAAGTTTGGGTGGTTCTTCTCCTATAGGCATCATAATCTGATCTTGGATCGCTACCCGCAATCCTCCAATATCTCGCTGTTGTTGGTTTTTCGCTTTTGAGAGATTATTGCGATTATTCAATCTGTTGAACTCATCTATATAGTCACTAATAAACTAATGTAGGACAACATTTGTGGGTCCATCCACAATGAAAATTGGTAGTGGTGGGACCCACCAAATGAAAGATGAAAAAGAATAAACAGTAGTCTTGTGTGTGTGTGTGTGTGTATATATATATAACATATATTATATATATCTATATATGTGTGTTATACGAAGAGTCAAAAGGAACGTAATGCATGTGGGGGTCATGAATAGTAACTTCATGTATACATTTGCCATACAAAGTGAAAGATTTCAAAGTTTTTTTTTTTTTTTTTTTTGACAAGTAAAAAGTATATT